CACAGCACTGTGACGGGCTTGTCTCCTCCCTGCGTCCCTTCCATAAGGGGACGTAATGATTATTGCTGGATTAATGCACACAAGCTGCCTAGATGTTCCACTTCCTTTTTAGGGGTAGCTGATAAATGGGAAGTAGAAGGAAACTTAACATATAAAAGAATCGGTTGATAAATAACATAGATTACCTTGTGTAACCTATTGCTGTTTAATCTGTCCTGCTCATAGCAACCCTATAGGATAAAGGAGAATGACCTCATTGGGTTCCCAAGGCTATGATCTTTATGGAAGCTGTGCTGGGTTAGACTTGGTATGGAGGTCGGGGTGGAGGCCAGCCTGTTGATCATGCGATAGCCTGGTGATGTCTCCATGGGTGTGTGGCCATTTTATAAGGTACACAAGGGGACCTCTCACTCTTTTTGCCCTTTGCCCTCTCTGCTTGCTAGGAGTCTGTGTCTGCCTCCAGGGGTGGCCCTATGTGGACTGCTGACCCTGAGAGCTGTAGGTGCCCTGCTATGTTCCCACCAACTAGATCCAGGAGACTGCGTCCATCAGCCTGGATCTCCGTCTCCTGCTTCTGCTGCAGCAGCCTGCAGTTAAATGAGCCGAAAGAGGGCACTTGCTAACAGTAGACCCAGAGACTTGAGTTGGACTAGGCTGGGAAGCCTTCTTGATAGAAAATTTCTTATGATCTATCTAGCTATATCCATCATTCATCTGTCCATCCACCTGAGTGCCACTGGTTTTGTTTCTCTAGACAACGCAACCTAACACAGAAACCGGCAGCCAAGTCTTTCTCCTGTGGAATGAGTGGCCGTGTGGTCCAAATAGCTGACCTTTTAGTTCACAGCTAAACACTCAACCACTGTGCTACCAGGCTCCTTATGATGCAGATAGTGCTTAGTAAAATTAACCAGATGGACAAATGGAATGAATCTTAAATATATCCATTTGTTGTTGTTCTTGTGTATTCTTTTTAAAGAATGTTTTAAAAAAGGATACATAATCTTTTCCTAGGTATTCTGAAAATCTCAACAGTGCCTTAGAGGACGGCCTAATTTATCTTATGATAGAACTGTACAGCAAATATGGGCTTGTTGCCACCAAATCTTAGATTTATTCTTCAAGTGGTGATAGAAATCTCATAATTTTTATGGTAAATGAAGTATGAAACATAATAAAAATATGGTGTCTGATATATACTGGTAATAAATAGTTGGTTACTGGCAATTCTTGTGAAGTGTGATATAAATCATAA